GCAGAAGTCTCCTGTGCAGTGTCCCTTCCCCTTTCCAAATTTCTATCAGAGAGTTTAAATGATACATAACTTGCTTACTCAAACTCTGTAAAAGGAGTAAGTTTACCCCCTAAGTGCAGAGGAAAAATAAAGATCCTATATGGCTTTCTGAAAAAAAACAAAACCCAAAAAACAATATTTGGACAAATCTTCAAGCTTACAATAATTAAATCTTAAAATGAACAATTTTACTATTAGTAATAAGAACATTTGGCAAACAAGGAGTCAAACCTAAGTGGGTTTCTGAAGCAATTCCTAAATGAAACGTGTCAATAACAGAAAGATTAATACACATAACAAACACCCTTTCTGGTTTTGGCAAATATAAGAAGTACTTGTACAGCAAATTACAGACTCCTAGGATTGGCTCAACAACAATAAATCTGTTAGCTCAGCTTCTACTGACGTCATTTCAACAAATTCCTAACCTAAGCAATGTCACTCAATTCTATGAAGGTAAAACATACTTGGAAATAGAGTAATTTTCATATGATTTTGCATGAATATCCATATTTATTTATTTTTAGCAAAAGAGGCACCGAGACTCTCATAGCCATGGATCAAGTGGCCATATAAAATTCATCCACTTGTAGTGCTGACTTTGCTGACCCTTCCCGATAGTGTGTCAACTTATTCTGAGTTTCCTGCAGGACCAAAAGTCTGTGTAAACACATTCAAATGACCTGAGCGAACTCTTCAGGGCTTGTTCTACTGGTAGAAAAAATTACCTGAAGTCACCAGAACAAACATTTGACTGCTGAACCCCTGAAGAGCAGAGAGCTTGAAGCTGATGCTTCATACACATCCCAACATGCTCTGCAGGCTCCCCAGGTCTGCCTGGTGACAGATAGCAGCAGTGCATAGGGCAGTCCCAACTGGCTGACTCAGACTGCTCAGAATCAGCCTGTTTCTCTCTACAGCACAATGTGGGACTATAAAAGCATGTGTTCTGCTCCTTCCTTGGCTGCAACAGTAGAGTCCAGCCTGAGTGACTGTCTGCAGGGGGGCAAGAGGGATGGGAGTAAAACATCTTGGGAAGCAGGAGAACTGTCTTGTGGCTTCTCTCAGAAGGATAAAGTTGTGTACATATTCATTCTCTGAAGAGAAACTCTCTTGGAAATAATTAAATCCTGGCTATGCCCAAGTTGTTATTTTTCCTGGAGCAGTCATTTTTGTTCTGGGAGAAAAATCCTTAACACCTGTGCACTCCTGGTTTCTCCTGAAAGAGAGGCAACTCTCCCAGGAGAAACTGAATGTCTGTACATGGCCTAGGCCATGAAGAGGCCGACATTTTTCACCTGCATCAGAAAACTTGTGAAAAGGCCTTGATATTTGTGACATTAAATTGGAGGAAGGCTGATAAGGAAAAAGAAGGAGCTTCCTGTCTGGAATTCCCATGGGTGCAGAAGCCATACCTGATGGTCCTCAAAACATTCGAAACCCTAATGAAGTAGCATTTTTCTACTCATTCTGAAGCGGAGGGAAGCGATGGGACTGGGATGTAACAAAGTCCCTCTTACCAATCCAATATGGCCTCACTAAACTGGCATGACAATTCTTGTCAACTTTGCAGAGTTGAGAATATTTAAAAATGTGTACATGTTCTCTTGGACTGGTGCTATCTTGATGTCCAACTTCTAAGCTATCGTTGAAAACAGGTAAATGGAAAGCCCTATCCAGTTCCAGGGTAAAGAGGGTGTTGGTTATTAATACAAACACTGACAGAGACAGTCTTCTCTTTCTGACATGAAATGGGTTTCCACTCACATTGGGAATGCAGGCCCAACACAGCCAGAGTAGTAAACAGAACAAACAGTGACCAGACTGTGGCTAGTCCATCCACTTCTAGTTATGCACTGGTGCTCTATGAAGGATACTGCTAGTACTCTCCTTAAAGTACGTTTCAGTCTAACGTTCCCTGCTCAGAGATGAAGAGGAGCAACTGTGAGAAAGCAAAAAGAAACACATCACCAGAAATGACGCTCCATCAGATAATAATATGTTGCTGATATGAAGGGCAAAGGCATTTCCTTTAAAGCATCTCTTGGTGATCAAGGGCTTGTTGGTTTGTACCAATACTGGGACAGAACATGGAGTTGGGACACAACATGGGCTTTCTTCATGACTTATGACCTGCTGTAATCCATTACCATAAAGGAGTATTCAGAAGAACACTTTGGGTCCTCCTTGCTGGGCTGTGATCTGCATCCAGTGCAACCATATTGCATGGCATGGATGCATTGCATTCAGCATCCTTGTCCTGCAGTTGGCACCAGAGATCCTGGTACTTGTATCAGTGGCCTTGGCACTTTCAGGTTTCCTTTCCCTGCTGGAAGCAGAGCCAGAATGTCTGGTTACCAGGATGTGCCAATAGATTTTTCTTCTCAGTGCTGGTTTGGAGTCTCTTCTCTGCAATCATAGGCAGCTTTCATGAACTGTTACAAGACATGCAATTTGAGCCTAATGTCCTCCAAGTTTCAGGTATAAGACAAGATAGCAGTTGGAACATCTGCCCTTCCCCAAGGCAGAAAACGTGTTTTCTGTGCATGCTGATGTAAGTCATTTGACTATCACAGGATGGATATTGTTTAGATGCTCTGAGTATACACCGGTGTGCAAGCAGCTGGTGGAAAATAGGTATAAGAACATAGAACATAAGAACATAAAAAGTGCCATTTACTGAGTCAAACCATAGGTCCAACTTGCCCAGTATCTTGTGTCACAATGGCAGACAGTGAATGCCGAAAGGGACAGTGAACCGAGTATGACCAAGGTTTTTTCCCCCTACTATTCCCCTCTCAATTGAAGGCTTAAGCATTTAAAGGTATAGGAAGTTCTAATTCATACGCTTCCCAAATCCTGTGCTCAACAGGTACTGATGCCCCTTTCCTCCAAGAACCTATCCAATGCCTTTTTTGAGCCTGGCTAAACTGTCAGCTTCCACATCATCTGGTGGCAATGAGTTCCACAATTTAATTACATGCTGTGTGAAAAAACTTCCTCTTGTTAGTTTTAAATGTCCCACCAACTAGCTTCATTTTTTAACCCCTAGTTCTTGTACTGTGAGGCAGTAAATAGTAAATCCCTATTCACCTTCTCTTCTCCACTGAATATTTTGTGCACCCTTATCATGACCCCCCCCCACCCTTAAGCATATCTTTTCTAAACTGAACAGGCATAGCCTCTTTAGTCTCTCCTCATATGGAAGCACCTCCATACCACTAAACATCTTTGTTGCCCTTCTCTGTACTTGTTTAGTTTTTCTATATCCTTCAGCCCACTGCAAGACAGCAGAGAGGTGCTAACTTTTTTTTAGAAGGTCAGATGAAAAGTAACAAACAGAAGAATGGGAGAGGAGGGGAAAGAAATTTCTGCATAATAAGGTGAAGTGCAAGGCCCTAGAAAGGTCAGAAGCCTTATGTTCCATCTTGCTATCACAGGAGGTAAGACAGAACTGAGGGATGACTGGTTTTGCAGTTTGGCTTCAATGGTCAATGCTATTGAAAAGATCCCAAGCTTGTGCACAAGGTGCAGGCACACATATGATGGCATCCACACTGAGACATACTCAAAACACAGCTTTCACTTTTCTTAAATGGAGCTGAAAATCTCCTGAGAAAATATACAAGTAAAGAGTATTATTCCTGCCTAAGTCTGAAGGAAACAACCTGGAAAACAAAGCTTCTGAAAATGTCAAATCTGTCTTGGTTTTTATTACATAATTGTTGCAATAAAATACCATGAGCCTTAAAGTCTATTTAATAATAACAAGATGGGGAGGGAAGGGAAAGGTTATGGGCTTTAAGAATCCACTTATTTAACCGTAGGTTGTTAAATGAGGTAGGTTTTAGGCACCAAACTTTTCTCCAATTAGAAAAGCTTAAGTTAACCCCCTCAATTTTTTTAAACATGAGGTACTTAGAGAAAAAAGATTCTTTTTTAGACTCTAACACGCCGAACTACTCAAATTTACAGCATCTGAAACTTTAGTTCAGTTTAAGTAATAAAGTGGAACAGTCTTGTAAACTGGAGTATATTACTTAGTCATTTACGTAGTATTTTCATGCTACTACAATTAAGCACATGGGTAAATCCTTGCAAAACTGGAACCCTGAACAAAAAACTGAATAGACTAATCCACAGTGTGACTGATTAAGAGTACATGGAAGGCAAGCTTTTTAATTAAAACTGAATGTAAAAACCAAACACGTATTCTAAAGGTTTAAGTTAAAAAAAAGTTATATTAAAAACACCAGATAACTGTAATATGAGGCATTGTAAAAGTTTTCAGCTTCTTTAAAATTCAAGCTAAAATGTTTTCACTTGGATTTAAAAAGACCCCTTCAGCATTAAGTAACAAACATTGTAGAATGCCTGATGCGACTACACAAACTCCTGAAGTGATGAGACTTGCATTACCAGAAACAAAACAAGGAGTGAAAAAAAAATAAACCAGGAGCATATATCTACAAAATGTAAAATTTGTTTTAATAACTGAAAATGGCAATGACCCCAGCCTATGACCCCAGAGAGCTGGTGGTGGTGTGCTGAGAACTGGCACATCACAAAATTAGTAGGATTCCTTGTTCTCAGATGCCAGTACACTGAATATGTACCTAATACAACTTTTCCAAAAAGCTATGGATAAACAAAATTACTATATAAGTGTTAATGGAAAGAGGAGTATATGAAACAACTTTTAATACAGTGCACTTTATGAGCCCTAAAAAAAAAAACAGGTAATAATATTTTCTGCTACCTTGCTTTTTTGGAGAGGTAGGAGAGGATGGCATTGCAGAAGAGACAGCCTGAGAGTTTTAATGTATGAAATTGTACCTAAACATGTATTTTTAAAAGAAAATACATTTACATTTTACACACATGAACTCTATAATTAAATATTTAAAACATATGAACCTCCCACATGCACACTGTTACTTACACAGAACAAAAGAGCTTACCTGTTAAATATGTTCTCACTTGCAGCGTATTTGTCCAGTCTTCCCAAAGGCGTCAACATTTCATCTTGTGAGACAAAGTCCAGGGCTGAAGGTATAATAATCACATCAGACTCTGAGCTGTAGTCATCCACACCAACTAGCAGAGACATCAGAAATATTCCTTATAATCACAGTACTTGAACACTAAAATGATGCCCATTGTTTTTCTGAGACAAGCAAGTCTAGGCAAGAATCCGTCTCTGAGGTATATACTGAACCAAAAAAAACCACACATACACACATTTTCCACTACAGCAGTTTTCTTCCTATAAAGCCTTTTTTATATAGTTCAACAACTACTCCAAGAAGGCATCTGGCCCAATTTATGTGCGATATGCTCCAATGTCCCAAGTACAAAATTTCACAAATGTCTAAAGTAACTTAGGTTATACAACATTTCCATTTGTTTGTCATGTGGCCAGATAGTTCATTAGCTTTTTAAAATATCTTCATAAAACTCTAACTACAGCTGTCAACAGGAAAATAGTGCATCTCTGGACTGAAATCCACACAATTGAAAAGAACCTCTAATAAATACAAAGCAAAGCAAACACACATTAAAAAAAAACCCCATGCAAACAAACACCAAGTTAGAAAATATCAAGCATCTCAGAGTCTCAGTTGAGCAAAGCTGAACCAGTGTCCCCCCCATAATTTAAAAAGTTGGGTCCTAGTTTTAACCTTATTTTTCCCCCTCCAGGAAAAACCTCATTTCACCAAGTAATTTATGCTGTCCTGGTACAATGACAAGCAACAAAGACACACTACTCCCATTCCACATGCTAGTTCCTGAACTTGAAGCAGCACAGCTGCCTTAGTACACAGAGCCTACTACTGTATGCACAGCACCCCACTGAGATTACTAGAATATTTTCAATTGGGAAGCAGCATTCACAAAATGGGCACAGTGCTTACCACTGTGCAATAGAAATTCCCAGTTGAGGCTCAGAAGCTTTACCAAAAAACATTCTGACACATTTATTCTATATAGACTATATATATGAACTGACTGCCATGCACATGCACTCAATTCAATAAAAAGCTCAAGTACACACATCCACATTCAACCTCAATGAAGCCATTAATCCTTTCCTCACTGGCTCAAGTTCTAATCGTTCCAAGTATATTACTCCTCTAAACTACTTGAAAACTCAATACAATACATAAAAAGGACCCAATCTTTACTTATCTGTATATTTCCTCTGACTTCAAAATAGTACCACTCCTACTTGTGAGACTGTAAGATAGAGCCCCCAAGTCACACGTCTGCCCCTATAGGTCTGATTCTATGCTATCGTATAACTGCATCTAGTCTGACTATACAAGTTCTGCCACACTATATTTCCAAGACTGAAGCCTCAATATATAGCTTAGAACAGGGGTACTCAACCTCCAGCCCACGAACCAAATGTGGGCCTGTGAAGCCTTGGAATCTGGCCTACATGGCTCCAAAGAGGTCAGAAAATTTGGCAGCAGCAGATATACTGCCACTCTTCCCTGCTGCCAAAATCCCAAACCGCATGTGGTGGATCAGAGCTGGGCCACAACCTGCTCCCTGCACAGCCAGATCAGGGTCAAGCTACATCCCCTTCCCTTTACCCAGTCGGGTTGGGCCTAAGCCATGCCCCCTCCCCCTGCGCAGCTGGTTCAGGGCTAACCCATGCCCCCTTCTCCACCCCTCCTCACGGGTCCAGGCCAGTCCATCCTCCCTGCCTCCTTGCAGGTCCAGGCCCACACCCTCTTCCCTCCACCCAACCAGGCTGGGGCTGACCAAACCTCCTCCTACCTGCACAGGTATTTCAGAGCCAGGCCACACTCCCTTCCCCCCACCCCGCAAAACTGGATCAGGACTGGGTTATACACCCTCCCCACCTCCCACAAGCTGAGTCAAGCCCCTCTCCCCCACACAGCTAGATTGGGGATGAGTTGCCCCCAACCCTCCTCCACACAGCTGAATGAGTCCCTGGCTGCACCTGTCCCCAGTGACAGATTCGGACCACTGACTGGATCCAGCCTGCAGAGGAACTGGAACTGCACTGCCCATCCAGCTCATGAGACAAAAAGATTGAGCACCATTGGTCTAGAAGTATTTTTTTTAAATGAAAGAAAAACTGCCACTCTTCTCCACTCATCTGTTATAAAATTAAACTAAAAGATATGAGTTACGTTTTTAGACATGCCTCTCTCCCTCTGGCAAAATTTTCAATGCCTCATATGCAGGCATCTCTGATTTTCCACAGAACATTTACATTTTTGTTTCAAAATGTATTTTTCCTTAATACTACACTTTTTCCTATACACTTACAGAAGTTTTTGAGATTTAGAAAGTGTGTATATTCAAGACCACCAAGTAAAATATGCTATCCTGGTACAATGACAGATAATACCAAAGAAATGTTCATGAAGCAGCACAACTGTGTTAGTACAAAGCTTAGTTGTGAGTAGACAGAACCCCACCAAGATGACCAGGCTACTTTAATTATATTTCCATTCACCATGACTAGAAATAAATCCCATCCTAAAAAAAAAGACAAAATGATCTAAACCTACAGTAGCAAGTAGTCAAATGTATGCCATTCTTAAGAAAACTGAGATGGAAAGTGAAAGAAGTAAGATTTGTGTAAGTGGGGAGCTAGAGAGATAGGGTAGAAAGGCAGTGGAAAACTTGGTGGGTAGAAAAGATAGAGGTTAGCAACTGGTAAGTGTTGGAAACAGTGAAACAGGAGGAGGAAGAAAAGTATGTGCCAGAAGTGGAATAAGGCTAGGTGGAGAATAATGAACTACCATATTTACCTGAATCTAAGACAACCCTGAATTTAAGACGACCCCCTCCAATAATTAGATTCTATGTATGGGAAATGTATAAATTTGTTACAATTTTCTAAATACAGAATCTAATTATTGGAGGATCATCTTTAATTCATCCCTCCCACCACTGCAGTGGGGAGAAAGTAGGAGGCAGGTAATGAGGGGAGGTCAAGTAGCTTGCCTCCTACTCATGCCTGCCCCCCTCTCACTGCATCAGGTCCCAACCTTCCCTAGCCTCTGCTCTATGCTCCCCACCCCCTGCAGCCACTGCTCTGTGCCAGCAAGCTTCATCCCTATTCTAACCCGAGGCATGGAGCATGGCCCCACCCTGGCCCCATAGCAGCCGTGTGGGCTGCACACTACAGCTACAGAACCAGGCTGAGGCTGTGCTCAGTGCCCCAGGCTGCAAGGTGAACCAAGCCTGTCAGCGAAGTGGGGAAAGGAAAAAGGCAGATGGGAGAGCAGATGTATATGGGAAGGGAAAGATGGGGTAGAAGAGGTTGCAGGGGGGAGACAGGGCTGGCACCCAAGCCACAACAGCCTTCTGCCCACTACCACCTTCATACTCAGTTGTAAAATGAGGTACCTTTTCCCCCATGCCAAATTGGGGGGGGGGTAGGATTCATCTTAGAATAGAGTAAATACAGTACTCATCAGGAGAACTCAGGCATCATTGTTGTAAGACAAGGGGTTACAGCACTAAGCAAGAACTCTTAGCAACCCTGTTCGTATAGGTGTTTGAAGAGGACTAAGGTGTTTGAGATAAAGGGTTTATTTTGAGAATATGGCCTTATCTTCACAGGGAGGAGGGTGGATAAAGGTGCATTATTAAGTTAACTCAAAGTAAAGACCTACTAAAAACAAGACAGGCTGTGGTTTTCATATGAGCTAAAATATGGCTCCCCCTCATATAATTTGATTCTACCTGTTAACTCACTTAAAACTCGCAAGCTGCTTTGCCTTCATTATGACTTAATTCAAGTTTACTAACTAAGGGCTAAGGAATACACCTCTTTTTCATTAAAGGAGCATGCCAGTGATGAGAGAGATACAGAGTTAAATCAATTAGAAAAAATAATACTGCAACATCCATTTGTGGTTATGCTGGTACTGTTCTTTCAAGAAAAGGGTAATACCAGTACAGCTACATAATCACGCTAATTTTTAATTTTGTACAGCTGAATCAAGATAAATAACTGTAGGTAGACAAACACTGTTTCATGTTAAGTGACATTTGCCACTTCTGTATTGCTATGTATAGGTTTTAAGAGATGCCTTACTATCTAGGATCCTAGGTGTGGTATTGGCGAATTTAAAAAAAAAAAAGCCTCTTGGAAGGATCCAAATCACACACAACTGAATGAAAAGAGAAAGTGTGAGCTCTTGTAAATCTGTTTAGTCAGTGCCTATACAGCACTTTATACCTGTAACGCAAGCCATCAAAATAAGTACAAAGAACTACGGAAATGTGTTACTGACACAAGAGTCAAGATTATTTAGAATTACAGAACTTTGCTAGACCTCAATTTATTTGCTAATCACAAAAAAGAGAGAAAAGAATCTTTGCGGCAACCCTGATTTACTGAAGCACAAATGAATTTCTAAAACCGTCCAAAGTCTCCTTCAGAAGCTTTATCTTGGCGTTTCATTTTCAGAACCACCATATTCTTAACAGTCCCTAAGCTCTCTTTTCTCCATGTTGACCCAACAGGGTACAACACTTTTCTTTATTTACAATGGTTTAATTTGCATGATTTGCTACAGGTTTAGGGAATTTTATCAAAAGTAGCCGGCAGAGTTCACCAATCTCCCGGTAACAGAAGGCAGCCAATGACAGCAAGGGATAAGCTGCAATTCCCTTTGTATTTGTCTCACTTTGTCCAGAGATAACAAAGAGATACCTTTCAGACAGCAGCATTTGTCCCCGAGGCTGTCTCAAGAGCTCCTTGCCGTGATGCACAGACACCTTTCCTAGCTGAAAAATCATATACAGCTTACTAGATAGGAGTTTTGGTCCAATGAGCAACAGAAAAGTTCATACACCAGTATAACTAGCAATGAAGCAACTTTGTAGGGGCAATGGGAGTGAAAAGGGAGGATAAATCCACCTGATCTCCATGTCTCCAAACCCTGCTGTCTCCCTACTCAAGCTGTATGTATTTAGTTCTCAAGAACAACTTGCTCTCACTAGCCTGTGTTCCTGGTGAAAGTCTATTTGGTTAAACACACTCACCAGCCACTGCTTTGAGCCAGCTATCCCACGGGTGCATGAGGAACCATGCACAATCACTGCAAGGACTCTAGCTAATGGTCCCTACTTCTCCATAAGTACTGTTAGAATATCTATCATTTTGATGTGCAAATGCTTTTGAACAACTCCAGCAGGAGTCAAGTATTCATCCTGTTCTCTGCTTCAAGAACCAGACTTCAGAAACTGTCCTTATATGGAAGAATTTGAGAACTTTGCTTCTTCTCCCCACAGTTCTACTTGACATTTTCAAATCTCACACTGCTTTGGTGACAGGCCAGAAACTAAACAGTGGTCTCCAACATTTTCAAGTAGATCACCTTTGGCATTTAAAAACAACCTAAGATCTACAGTGTGCTGCTGCCACCCCCTCCCCCCACCCAGCAGGTAAGTCTGTGGGGAGGGAAGTTGGGGGGTGGGAGGGGGGAGAGGGGGGCACATCAAGACAGAGGGAGAAAAAATATTTGGGGGTGCACCTCCCCAGCAGGTAAGTCTGTGGGGAGGGAAGTTGGGGGGTGGGAGGGGGGAGAGGGGGGCACATCAAGACAGAGGGAGAAAAAATATTTGGGGGTGCACCTCCCCAGCAGGTAAGTCTGTGGGGAGGGAAGTTGGGGGGTGGGAGGGGGGAGAGGGGGGCACATCAAGACAGAGGGAGAAAAAATATTTGGGGGTGCACCTCCCCAGCAGGTAAGTCTGTGGGGAGGGAAGTTGGGGGGTGGGAGGGGGGAGAGGGGGGCACATCAAGACAGAGGGAGAAAAAATATTTGGGGGTGCACCTCCCCAGCAGGTAAGTCCCACCCATCCGGGGCCCCACTCAACCTACCCCTGCTACTGCCTCTACAGCACTGTCCCTCACTGTGGGAGCTTCAATCTAGCCCCCGCCCCTTCCCCCCCCCATGGACTGACCTGCTGAGCTGGGGTGCGTGCATGCATGCATGCAGACACTCAGCCCCCCACCCCAAGCTCAGATGGACTCCAAGAGGCTCTGAGATCTACCAGTGGATCTGATCCACTGGTTGGTAACCACTGAACTAAAGGGAAGATAGTCAGAGGACAGTGGTGCTGCAACAGCATAGCACAAGCATGGAAAAAACAAGTTCTAACTACAGTAGTATGTATACCACACAGCTTAAAACAGTGCTATCCCAGTTTGATATGCTACAGTAAACAGTCAGACATGCATTCTAATATGGTTGTTAACAGTTACCATGGATGCCCTGTCCTTGTGTTAGGGAAGCATATTAGTCTAGTTCCAGGTGAAGAGATGCAAGAAAGCTCTTCTGGTTGATGAGACCTGCAATACCACCTTCATGTGCATTTAAGGGAAACGTGTTATTGAACATGGTTTTCAGTAAATGTTTGCTGTAAGTGTTAATGAAAACAGTTTTAGCATAGATCAGACAAAATAGTTTAATACCTTTTCAGAAAGCATGCTTGAAGCATGATGAAAACCTGTGTGAAACATGGTTAAATGTAACCTGAAAAAGAAGAAAACAAAGTATTGGGCTTACTCTTTGCTTCTTAATGACATAAAAAGATAGCCTGAGATTTTTATGGGGTCTTCTCTCTTAATAAAAGTGGTATGCAAGTGAGGAAAGAGGTTCTTACTGGTCTGTTATCCAAACCCAAGTCTATCCTAAACACTGGTTGCTCAACATCCTACCAGAGTTAACACATACCAGAATCTGTCACCAACAGTACCCACAAGGGAATGATGTGGCTGCTATCCCATACAGCATGATAACCAGGTACCAAATCACAGCACGGTTAACTGGGCCTTTGGGACAAGTCTGGAGTGGAATGCAAATTCATGACTATGGATCTGTAGCAAAACGTTCACTGTTTTAACATGAACCCTTACCAAAGCTTTATCTACCTTAAAATATACAAAAGCAATTAGAAAAAAATACCTAGATTACTGTACGAGATTCTATTAAAATACATTAAATAATTTTAGTCAGAGAGTCTGAATTCTGTTTTCATGAAATAAGTTAATGCTTACACCAAACCAGCAAAGAAAAAATGCTGTGTTATAGTTCATTTTTTCAAGACCTATCCTTTCCTCCTTCAATTAAGGTGCCAAATCTGGAAATATGTATTCTTTAACACCCCTGAAAGGATTTGTTCCTTGAAGAATGAGAAAGAGGTACCCTTTTCAGTCTTTCATTTCATACCATAAAGTAGGGGAGGAAACAAAATATTTTTAACGTCTTTGCAGAGAAAATGTAAACTTTAATTTGGCACTGTAAACTGAAACCATGTTTGATTCAGGTTAGTAGGCAAGTGAGCTGTAACCAGTTCCTCTATCATGGTTGTATTTGTAGTACCAAGAGGACTTCTTTTCCACTCTACCTTGACTATTTCTTTCTGCAGTTGCAGAAAGAAACTCTAAATAGAGTTATTTAGAGTAACTCTATAGAACCCAAGATACACATTTTAGTGTGTTTAAATACAAACAGTATTTAATCAATATCTGCATTGATTTAGCACAGCACTCTGCACTCCTCCTTGATCATACTTGGGACCTGTATGGATACAAATTAGATTTAACCCCTTCTCAATGTGTGCTTATATTTCCGAATGTCAAAATACCTGATCATTCATTTCACTTATATGACCTATAACTACTAAGAGTGAAAAATTTCCCTAAGTGCCTTGCCATACACTGACGATTTCTTGGAATCACTCATATTAGCAGTTGAACAATAACATGGAACATCTAATTAAGGTGAATGAGGTTGGCAATAAGTTACATTCTTCTCCAAGGATCACAAAGTATGCTGTGCACTCAAATGGTTTCCTGTTAGACTTTTTTTTGTAATGTTGCATACAGAACACCACTATCCTGGGATAGCTATGAACGCAAGTTTTTCTCTTGGAAAAAGGAATTCCACAAAGCAGTCAAGTTGTAGAATTGTGAGCATCCCTTTCCTCCCCCTTTTAAATTTTTCAGTATCTGGAGGAATAAGGAAAGGGGGTAATCTCTTGGCATATTAAAACTGTTGAGGTTCCTGGTTTTTGCTCTCAGCCACACGCAAAGCTCTTGAGGACCAGCATGGTTCACTACAAAGCATTGCAACTTTCCTGCCTCAGTTCTTGTGCCAAATGAACATAAAATGAGTTTGACAGAGAAATCTAGCAAGACATGTAATTTTTCCCATCTTTAAAAGCAAACAAAAAAGGATAAGGATAAAATCTGTTGACCTAAAATGAAATGTAGGCAAGCCCTGAATACCCACAACAGGAAGTTGACTGAATAGCTACCTCTGAATAAGTAATTCTGCAGCTACTCTTTTGGAATATCTCCCTGGGGAGAGCCTAGATTGAGGGTCCACATAGGGAGCCACTCCAGAATAAGAAGCAGGAAGCACCACAAAAATGCTGACTTCTCTGGATATGACAAACTCGGGAAGATTTTACAATTTTAATGATAGCTATTTCACATGTATTTATTATTCCTAGGTTAACATTGAAATGTCATTATACAGGTTACTGATTTTCTGTTTCAAGATAAGCTTCACTATATGAAAGTCAATATAAACACCTTGTTTACTGAGCAACCAGATAGAATAAAACAATATGCCTGTTCATTCGATATTTAGCATTTACTTCAGGGTAATTCTGACCATTTAGTCTTTACTTTTCCATTTCTAAATAATTAAATTCAAATCTATAATACATTATAATTCATGGTAACCTTTTTTACTCCCAAACGGATGAAAACTTGTTTCCTGACCTTACCCACACATTCACTGAACCATTACACATTCTACTTCTACAATCTGAAGCACTCTCCTTCTAATATCTGAAATATGATTCTAGACTGGGTCCACACAATTCAGATATCTAAGAAGCTGCTGTATCCTGTTTCAGTCTTCAGTATGGGTTGGAACATACAACCAGGCTAAACAAAAAGGGAGCCAGTTACATGCATATATATCCTGACAAGTTGGTTTTGTAGTTTCAGGCAGGAACACTGCATAATGCTCCCTGAATGCAAGGGTGGAGGGGAGGGGGGTCAATTCATCTAATCCATTTGGAACACTTTCAGGTAGCTCTCATATTGGCCTTACCTATAAATAAATTATTTAACCTCTGTTGTAGTAACAATTTCAAATAAACAGAATAGACATTACTAGCTAGCCAGCAAAGCAACATTAGAGCCATGTTTGACAGTGTCTACACTAACTTTTTTTCTTCAATATTCCTTCACTGTCTAGTGCCAGTGACTGCAGGTAATGATAGTTACAACAGCAGTGTAGACCAGGAGTCAGCAACCTTTCACTAGCAGTGGGCCAACACCTGCAACCTGGACACTGCCAATCCCTTGCCATTGACTCAGCATTCCCCACTCTGTACAAAGGGCTACTCTCTTGTCCCTCTAATGCAGCCTCCACTGAAAAACAGGCTGCCGAATATCATGGCAAGGGATGGTTTCAAGTGGCCTACTCAGCAACAATGGTAAGCAGAGGATATGCTTAGGGGGCGAGAGAGAAGCCCTCCACATAGAGCAGGCACAGCTGGAGCAGCAGGAGGAAACTGGCATACCTGTAGTAAAACATGGATCAAATCTGATAGCTGGGGTGGCAGAAGGGGATTGGTGCATGGTTAACAGACCTCAGCCAGATCAGACATTTGCGGACGAGATCCAATCTCTACAGCCAATGGGCCACAGGCTGCCAAACTCTGCTGTAAACCATCCTGGCAATGGGTTAGATCAGGGATGCTAAACCCCTGGCCCACAGGACAGATCTGACTCTTGCTGACTTGCCATCCGAATCTAAATGTGGCATGCAAGGTGGCACAGGGCCCTAGTCCCGGTGCACAGGACTGAATGGGTCTCTGTAACCCTGTGCTGCCTCTAATTTCATGCATGTGGGGCTGGGTGCAGCCCGCACGGTTTAGATCTAGGGATGCAGGTCCAATCCTGGGGGGTGAGGTCGAAATCTGGCACACAAACTGGCCCCATCCCATTCATTTGGCCCACAGAGCCAAAACGCTGAGTACCACTAGGTTAGATGACATTGTTTACAGATTACAGAATTTAAACCCAGGCCTCTCTGGCCTGTGTAGAAAGAAACCAGAGTGCTGTAGTCACATTACTGAATAAGTCTATAATCTTGTGCAGGCAACAGCAATCAAATTCAAATTTGACAACTCAGAATATACCACTCACTTCTACGCAGGAAAACTAAGCTAGTTTAAACATGTTCAGGCACTATCAAATTATTCTTTGTCCCAACACTCCTTTACCTATCATCTCATCACCCAACATTGCTAACTATAGTGTAAATGCACCTTACTATTTTTGACCAAGGACTTGCCTCTACTGTTCTAGTTTTTATAAGTCTTAAACTTTAGCTGCATAAACTTGGAAAGAAAGGCAGTTCAGCATAGCATGAGCAATCCCCATTTTCGGGCTAGAAGGATCAAACTAGCAGACAACATAATATTTCTTTTTAATTCTGTTTATTCTAAACAAAAATAACTCACCATTTTCACCTCTCAGCAATGCTTACTTATTCAGTCCTCACTTAACACTTTCACTTCTGTACTGTACTTATAAAACCACTTTTGCAATTGTCCCAAATTATTCTACTGTATTTTCTCACATATCATTCACACCCATAAATAAAACACGGATGTTGTCTTTGGAAGGCAGAATGTAGGAAAAAAAATTTTAGTTATGGCCAGCTGTGACACAGAGAAACTCCTTCTGACAACAAAGCATGCTGAGAGAGAATGGCATCCCAGGATACAGTATGGGTGAGGCAGCAGAAGCTTCCTGGTGTTACAGGACAGGAAGGCTAGGCCCCAGACCAGAGATTGGCAACATTTTTGGCCACAGTGGCAAAAACACCACAACCCTGACCCATGCCGGGGCAGTTCACGGGAGAGCCACGAGAGGCCCGATCCTCACTGCTGACAGCAGCTGTATGTGTACCACCATGGTGTTCCAAGCAAAATGGCCTTGCGAGCCATGCTCTGGCTGTCATGTTGGGATTTGTTGCCTCCTCCCCCCACCACAATCCACATGAATCATGGCATCTATTTGCTAACTCTACTCTGCTTCTATTTGGAGGGGGAGGGGAGAACAATACAACCTCCTTGCTTAAGACAATGCACCTGAATTTTCAAGGGATGATTCTAGGGCAGGGGTGGGCAATTATTTTGAGCAGAAGGCCACTGATTGAGTTCTGGCAAGCCATCGAGGGCCACATAACAGGCAGCCAGGGCAGAGAAATACAGTAAAAGCTCTGTTAACAGGCATCCATGGGAATTGGGGGGTGCTGGGTAATCAAATATGCCAGTTATCTGAGAGGTTTTTTGTTCAAAAAAGAAACTAAGCCTTCATTTTAAATTGTGATATAACAACTTTTAACATAACATTTTAACTATGATATAACAACTTTTAATATTTTAACTATGATATAAGGAATAATAAAGAAAACAGTATACTGTATACTGTACTATTACTGCCTCTCAGCTGCTTCTGAAAGCTCTGCTTCGGAGTGTGCCTCTTCTTGAGGCTCATCAACATCAGTATCTGATCCTTGACACAAGCTGCAGAAGCTCTTTGAAGCAACCTGCGGATGTCTGCCTGCCTGCAAGTCAGTTGCATTTTTTTTCAGGAAATTGTTGTGAACAAGATGAAGTTGCATCACTTCCTGAGCAGAATAAGAAGACTGCTGCTCAGCAAATTTCACAAACGTTTCCAGACATTGTGCAGCAGTAGCCCAAGCCACTTTAGTATCTTCACTGTGGTCATCTTCTTCTGAGTCTTGTTCAGGTGCAGTAGATCTGTCCGGATGCACAACCTTTTCTATAATTTCAGCATCAGTAACGGTTTGTGCAGCATCAAGGTCTTGATCAATGTTCACCCACTCTTCAAGTTCAGTATCTTTGAGTTTAGTGAGTGGGTGAGCAGGGTCAGCATTTTGAAGGACATCAAGAATCTCTTTTAATGATTCTTTTTTATGTCTCACATTGAAACCTGCAAATTCTTTTTCATCAGAAGATCACTATGCAAACATCACTGCTGCCCACAATTTTCTCCAAGCCTTCCTTAAAGCTGTATTCTTCACAGCACACCAGGCACATGCCACATTGAAAATTGCATCCTTAATGGTATACTGTGACTGAAATTCTTGGAAACTGCCTTCATAGTTGAGTAGCTTCCACATAAAATCCCTTCTGTAGATGGATTTCAGGTTTTCGATAATCCCCTGATCCATAGGCTGTATGAGTGAGGTGACATTTGCAGGCAGGAAGATGGTAAAAATATTTCCAGATACTAACTCTGCTTCAGGAGGGTGAGCTTGACAGTTACATAAAATAAGAATAACTTTTGTGTCTTCTGGCTTTCCAAGTTTCTTCAGATGCTCTTTCACTGCTGGTACAAAGACACGGTGAAACCAGTGCAAAAATATTTCCTTGTCCATCCATGCATTAGGTTGGTGCCTTGTACTCAACACGTAGATACCCTTGAAAGCTCTTGGTCACCTGAATTTTCCAACCACTAGCAACTTGATTCTGTGTGTGCCCGCTGCATTTGTGCACATAAGTACAGTCAGGCGGTCCTTACTCTGCTTAAAACCAGCTGCACCAACCTCACCTGTACCAGTCAGGGTAGAAGTTGGCAAACAATGCCAAAAAAGGCCAGTTTTCATCAGTGTTGTAGAGCTGCTCTGGGGATATGTCATACTCCACCACCAATTTCTAGAAAAATCCACAATATTTTTCAGCAGCCTCGTGATCAGCAGATTTTTTTTTCTCCAGACGCATCAAGCCTTCTGATACTATGGCAAAGTTTGAAGCAAGACAACCATCCATCTGAAAAAACACAGGCCTCGGTCATTCCCATTTGTCGATAGAAGTCTTTTGCTTTTTTGATCAGCACTGGGCCAGAAATTGAAGCTCCCTCTGAATGTTTTAAGGTAAACCATTCATACAATATCTTGTCTAATTGTTCCAATTTTGGTTTGTGCAGAGTACGGCATTGCTCAATGAATTTACTTGTCTCAGAATTCATCACGGACTGGAGTAACTCTGCCCTCTGTGCCTTGATGTCATAGATTGTAGATGAGCCAACACTGAATTCCTGCATCAACCTGTTCTTGTTTTCTCCTTTTTCCAGGCGCTTAATTATGTCCAATTTCTGCGTAATCGTCAAAACAACATGCTTTTGCTTCTGTCCTCTGCTTGTTGATGGAGTATTGGTAGCCATAGTTGCAGGATGGGCGAGATATTCAGCAATATTGTGCACAGGCACAAGCTCAACGTGATCACAGCGTGATCAAAAGCACAAGCACAAGCTCAATGCAATCACAGTGTGACCAAAAGCACAGGCACAAGCTCAACGTGATCACAATGGCAGAAGAGACTGCCGCTAGGGACACCACTCAACTGCGTCCCGAACAGCAAGACAGTGTCTGTGACAGATGCCGGTTAATAGAGAATTCTGGATGATAAAGTTCCAGATAACGCATCTTTTACCGTATTAATTTTCTAAATTTTTAGGGGCCCTGCGGACCAAATAGAATGACCTGGCAGGCCACATCTGGCCTGCAGGCCACATTTATCCCACCCCTGTTCTAGGGGAAAGGGTGCATGCTGTATGCAAGTAAATATGGCACATAATAAGAGACAGACTCCAATGAAATGTTACAAATCCTGGTTTATAGAGGGTTTTAATTAACATATTAAATATGCACTATAGTAATATGCTGTTGCTGACACAGATGAGTAGCAGGCACAGATGAATACCTCAGCTGCTAATATTGACAAAATAAGGTACTTTGACAGAATCCTGGTGGCAAACCCCATTTTTATTCCTGTATTACTTATGTCATTTATCAAATTCAAGTAATTAACATAATGGGAAAAATACCAGAAACTGATAAAGCACCGTCTAAAGCAGAATCCATAGATTCACCTGTGGGAACATTCCTGCAGTGTATTTAGTCAATGGGTTGATTTTGCTTCCCTTCTTGAGTGGGAAGCAAAATCAACCCATTAACCAAGTAGCACCTACAAACTCCATGGAACATCTCATGGAACAAACTACTGAGCCTGAGCAAGGATGGCAAAAACAGATTCTATACCAGCATCATTCTAAAGAAAAAGTGTGCATTTGCAAGACAATATAATGAGAAAAAGACAGCATATTGTGTCTTATAATTCCAGAAAGTCATGTTATATAGTCATCTATAAATATTCAGATCTACCCACTATATCACACTCAACATTAATGATACAGATTTGAGTTAAAACATGCTTTGAAGTAACTGAATCATCATATTTTGAAAAATCCCTCAAGCAGGTCTCCATGTGCAGTTTTTCCTCAAAAACAAATTACTGATCATCAAAGAGCCTAACCAATTCCCTACCAAAACACTTGATATACTCTGCACCACTGAATGAGCTTAGTAAATCTTGAAATTTCTTTTAGTGGAAGGACTTTATAAAATGAAGTTTTGGGATAGCAGTGTAAAGACAAATAAGGAAGATAAGTGTAATAGCACAAATGAAGTGAGTAATGCCTATTCAGTCTCCCCTGCTTCCCTACCACATCCCAGAACCACAGGACTAATAACATCCTACAGCAGTTACTGCCTTCACATAGGTTAGAGGCATGAGTTCAAGAGTCACCTGCTCTATAAAACCAAGCACCATCACATCAATAGAAGCTGCAACAGTATATTAACAATAATATGGCCCTTACGTTTTGGGTGCATACCAAGTAATAAACTAAGACTTATGTCCCTCTGTTTCTGAAGAAAAACTATGCCTCAGCTATTCATTTTCTACTTCGTTACTTTGTCCTATTTTCTTTTTGTAAAAAGTTGAAGCTCCAAATCTCTCAAAAGGTATTTTGAGGCTTAAATCCGATTTAAAATAGTGAGAGAGAGGAGTTAGGCAGCCAAATACCTTTGAGGATCTGGTCTTAAATGCTTATATTTGACAAGCAAAATAAACATGCCCAAGGAAACTGACAACTCCATGAAACAACTGTATCCCTGAAGTGAAAAGTGTCATTTTCTTTTCCCTCCCCAGTAATTAGAGAGGCACTCTGAGACAATGTTGGGAGGACTAAGTGCAATATCAGATTTTTTTGCCTGCAGTAGTGCAATAATAGAGCAGAATGACCAAATGCTTAACAGTTACCAGTGTTTGAAAAACACACTGCAATTATACTGACAGTATAAAACAGGCTTGTCCAACATACAGCCAGCAGGCCACCATGCAGCCAGCCAAAGTATTTTCTGTGGCCCACGGTGCTGTGACGGAAAACAAAAGTAAACACTGTTTACTTTCGTTCCCACCCCTTGTCCCTCCCCCAGCCCCTCAGCAGCTTCCTAATGGCTGCTGAAGAGCTGGAGAAGAACAAGGTTTCTACACGCACTGCAACAGCACGGCGTGGCCGAATCCTTCACGGGGCCGGACCCCTCCCTGGCCGGGGGTGGCGCTGGCTGCAGCTGCTGAGTGGGCCGCCTGCCCTGAGGAGCTGGTGACCGCCCAGGCGGCCACAGCCAGTGCTGCAGGCTCAGGGCAGGCGCAGGACAGAGGCTTCATGGGAGAACTTTGTCGCCAGGTGGCGGAGAAGTGGCTCCGCTCGCGGGCCCAGGACACACTAGTCACTGGCAGGGAGGATGCGCGTCCAAGAGCGCCCATGCTCCTGCCTCCACCTCCCTGCCCCGACATGAACCCATGCCCCTGCCCTGTGCGGGAAGCCAAGCAGCAGCTGCTGGCACTGGTGGCCCGCGCCTGCCTCCTCACCTGCCCGCTTCAAGCCAGCCCCACTGCCCTGCCCCACAGCAAGGTGGCGCCTGCCCCCCCGGCCAGTCTCCCCTTGGGCGCTGTGGCTCTCTGGGCCTGGCCACCTGTGTGCGAGGCCGAGGGGGCCGCTTCTCATGTGCTGCTGGGGATGGGAGGAGCCCGGCCAGGTCTGCACTGGCCAGCAGAAGCAGCTGCAGAGCCGTGTGCCAATCGGAACGAGCCTGCGCTGGTCAGTCCTGAGCAGCACACAGCTCCACCGCCACTTCTGCTGGCCGGTACAGACCTAGCCGGCCTCCTTCTGTCCCCAGCAGCACATGGGAAGCCAGCTTTTCCTTGCCAGTGCCGACCTGGTTCTGCCCAGGCAGATTCCTGAAGCACCATGTCAACCCAGGCATGGCACCAGCAGGCCAGGCAGGCCCCAGGTCAACCCTGGCCTGGGCCCACGGCTTCTCCAGCACCAGGTCAACCCGGTTGTAGCCAAGCGGCTCCTGCAGCACCATGTCAACCCAGGCATGGCACCAGGCCAGCCAGGCACCAGGTCTGTAAAAATACTGTCCAGTGTTTGGCTTGTGTTTGCTTCTGTTTCTCTTTGTGCAGGATTGGGGTTCAACTTGTTACTGCTTGTTAAAGTTGTGTTACTAACAAGTTTTTAATTCAATAAATCTTCTTGAAGATTATTCTCAAAAATGCCCATATTTTGTTGCTTTGATTAGTTTCCACTCTGGCTGATATCTTTTCCCCATTTGATCTGTCGACTTCCGTTATGCTTCTTTCATTCATTGAGAGTGAGTAGAAGCAAAAGTGTTTATTTTAGTCAAGTGTTTGGTATTATTTCATTCTTACTTTTATATTGTTTTTATTTTGGATTTTAAACCACATTTCCAGACCCATTTCATTGTCACTTCCTGCAACTTCATTGGTGTCAAAGATCACGTGACATCACTTCCTGATGTGATACCACTTCCTATGAGGTCTTTGAACATGGCTTGCCAGCCCACTGCATAATAAAAAGTTTGTGATCCAGCCCCACATTCAAAAAGGTTGGATACCCCGGTATAAAACCACTACAGAAAGCAGCAGCAGGATTTGAATGAATGTAGAACAGGGAGGGAGACGTAGTTTCTATTTCTTGTTCTGCCAATAACCTGTTCTGATCCCAGCAAAGTCACTTCACCTCCCTATATAGTCCCCTTCCCATCATTAGTCTCTCTTGCCAATTTTATTTACAGTATTTTCTCACATACAGCATACCCACCCAGGAATAAGATAGGCAAATTAGTTTCTGAGCAGCAGAATGAAGAAAACTATCTTTTCTTGTAGTGAGTAACTCAATAATAACAGCAGGTAAGGAGCCAAGCTTGCTCATTGCTCAGCAGTTGCAATATGGAACATCTAAAATACAAAAACACTGTTTAAACAGTAAAACTGAGTTTAGTAATTACTCTGTATAAATGTGCTATTAAAACTGTCATTTTTCAAAACAGAGCAACAGCATGTTTTGTTCTAAAACTTCTGAGGGACATAATGGATATATTTATCCATCTTGAACTCTTAATTCCTTTTAACCACATTCCACCCTTTCTATATTATTTTAATCTATTCTTTTCTCAAGATGGACCATCTTATGTTTGAATGCTCCAGACCAGAAAGTCCACAGTGACAGTAGTAATATGAATAAAGCTGCCTTTTTTTTTAAACTTGTCACTACACTTTATGTCTATTTTAATCCAGGCAGAAGGCAGGGGTACCTTATAGACTAATGAAATCAAAGATGTGTAAGCTTTCATGATCGCTCCGCTCATCTGAATACAGTAACATCTATTACAGCCTTAAACATTGATTCAGTTTAATTTGGTAGCACAGATTTATTTCCCTGCTGGTTGTGTTTGTTTGTTTGCTTAACCTAAACATTGTAGCTAAAGTAAATATAAAAATAATTACAAAATATACTAGAGACCAATCTCACTACCTGGCTTGCCAGACCAAGACATCATTCATTGGTTATAAACACAGATCCCATTACCAAAACAGTCTAAAGATCAGTTTCTAGGAAATCTGCTATTTCTCAAAATACAGAAGCAGTGAAAGAAAAATGGAACATAAATATTAGAGGCTTAGGTAGATATTGGCAGGGCTTTTCTAAGAACTGGGACTGTGAATGCTGCACAATTTCTTTCAACAAAGTTACAAGATAAATGGAAGTATGGTTCAGCTGTTTCCATGCTATAATCATCAAGACTTTGAATTCAGAAACCCGAATTCAAATCTCAGAGAAACTTCCTGCCTGCCATTTTTCCTGCATTTGTGCAGAGGGGTGGATCAGATAACCCTTGAGTTTCCTTACAACTCCATGATTCTATAAATACAGATCTTCAAGAGAAAAAGAGAGCCTTACAACAAATACCAAGCCAGCTGCCACCAAATTACCCTGGCACAAAAACTTGAGACTAACCATAGTCAGCTACTCTTTTGTAGAACATTTAAATTCAGTGAACATATTTTTTATTATTTTTGAAATAACGAGCAGAACAATAATTGGAGATGCTGAAAGAACTGTGACAGTCCTTCATCAAAAAAAAAAAAAAAAATCAATAAGGAAGCAAGGGAATTATGCAAGATTATTTTAGTGGAACAAGTGAAGCTAGAAAGAGTCT